GACTGGCTGACTAAAAATAACCCTTTTCTCCAAGATGATACCAAGACTAAGAATAGATTGACTGGAGGGAAGCATTGTGATTGTAAATCACTAGTGAAATAAAGAGGAAGAGGTAAAGAATTCACACTAAAACAGTAAAATATCAGTGATGATGTGGGTGAGGTACTGCTGCCCTCATTCCAGTTTTAGTTGGTATTCTGGAGACGGCTTCAATGCTGGAGCAACATAAGGATAAGATGTTTTTATTCTGAGGATTTTTGAGGGGAAGATGGAGGGCAGATGCTAAGATGTGCAGGTCAAGGCCTCGACCAGAACCCAGGAAGCCATTTGTTGCATTGCATTTCCACTTCAATGCCCACCGCCATGCTGTGAATTCATCTCTTAAAGTGTGGGAGTGCAGTCACTTGGAAAAATGAGGGAGACGTTATTAAAAATAGATTTGCTGGATGTTGGATCAGAGAGAGAAATGAATGATTAATCTACTCTTAAATTTTCTTTTAATCTTGTTGCTTAGATCACAGCATTTTAGATCTGGTTTGGGTCATTTGGAGGTTTTAATGCACTCAGAGATGAGACAGACTTAAGTCAGTTTCCAGGGCTGGTTGGAGCTTTGGTTGCAGCAATAAGAGAAATTGCCACAGGGATGCTTTGGATATGTCCGATGTTGAAAACGCATAAGAGGATGTGATGGATTTTGTTTTTTAATGTCACCTTAATGTTTTCTAGATAACTGCGAAAATGTAAACCCACATCTTGATTCATATAACGTTGCAAAAATTATTGAAACAAGAATTGCTTATAGTCTGATGATCTATTTTAATATACTTTAATGATTAAATATGTGTCCATAATATCCCTTCACTTCATAGAAAAGAAGTAAAAAGTGTCTTTGCAACAATACCTGACTTTGTGTCGGAACTGCCAGTTCTTCAACATTTGAATAATGTTTCAGTTTATCTATCCAATATATGTAAAACATTTAATTTTACACTCCAGTCTGACATCTTTGTTTCCAAAAATCGTTCTGAAATAGCTAATAATATCTGAAACTGTGATAGCAATAGTGAAACTATCAGGCAGCACCACAGACTCTTTGGAAACACAAGTTTTAGAGCAAGTATTAGAAAACTGAAAAGGCGTCATCAGTCGTTTCTTTTTCTAGTTTTTCTTTTACATGGAGGGAAAATATGTTGGACAGTTCAAAACCTGTTGAACCAAGTTCTAACTTAAGAGGGTGTTAAAATAATTATGTGAGCCTTGTTTTCTCATCATCGGAGCTTGGAAAGGAGTTTTAGATTCATAATTTAAATTAATTTGGCCAGGCTATTTGTTTGCCTGTCTTATAAAGTTTTTAATTGAATCCATTTTAAGCCATGTCACTTAGTAGAACGAGCCAAATTCTAATTATACACGAGTTCCTGCCAAAAACTACACTTTGAAACTTTTTATTTACCCAAACTGATTACATTTTGAAGTAGCATCTAATTTGTGCCTTTGTTTTCAACAGTAAAGCGACAACTGAGGGTGTTTTTTTTTTGTTTGTTTGTTTTTTTCCCCAACATTGACCTGTTAAGCAGCGTCAGTCTTTTTCTTTTTTTTTTCCTCTCTTAAAATGACACTGATGTGTAATTTCTTGGGGAATCTTGCTCATTTCTATGCAGATTCAGTTGCTGCCCTTCGGTCCTGTCACCTCTTCCTGTCTCCCAGTGCTGCCCTTCTCTGCTCCTGAGCATCGTCATCTGAGGTGGATCTTGCCTTTTCAATCAACTGTTAACAGTCAGGCATGCTGATAGCCACCCACTGTTTACCCATCAGGCTTTTCTCCTTAAGAGGATGCATGCTTTGAACAAGAGGTGCAAGTTTGAGCTTCATCAACATGCATGAGCATTAGCAATCCTTCCCTATAAGCTCAGAGCGAGTGGGTGTGGGGAGGTGGATGCAGGAATGACACAGAGGCACATGAGTGTCAAATCATCCATCAGGCTGTCGTATGCTGTCACCCACCTTCTCCCAGAGATGCTGTCGATCTGTAAACAAGAGAGAGAAACCCCAGGCTTCCCGGGGCAGAGAGGAAGGGCCAGATAAACGTCTCCTCTGCGAATCGCACAGTGGAGGATGGCAGGTTTTACTGAAGAGGGACTTGAGCCACTCAGCTAAATGTTGATGACTTAGAGTCCACAAAAAATAGCCTTCATGCATTTATCAAGCTATTTTTGATACAATTGACGGCAACATATGTCACTATTTTCCTTGGAAATAGATAATACATACTCGTGTTACAAAAAAATGAAATTGAAAGAACTCGAACAATAGTTTGTTCTTGTATTTATTTTAATGATTATTTTCATTAATAATTAAGTTTCCTATTCAACAGAGCAAATTAAAGCTTAACAGTGTTTGGTTTTTGATGCTGAACTAGTTGGGACCATGATGCTTAAAGTTTGAAATATTATTTTTGCGTGTATTATTTCAAAAGCTATCTCATCTAGTTTGAGCTAATTGTTGATATAGATGTCAAACTTTAAGAAAACTTTTATTTTTACTTTCAATTGTGATCATTGCTGCATATAATTTTTCTCCAAAGTAACGATGAGCGTTTCTTCCAGAGCCTTTTTATCACTGACTCAGAATCAGTTATCCACATGTTGGGGACTTATGCAGCCCTTTATTGGCCCTCTAATTATTTCTCACGTCACATGATTAATATTGTCACTTTGATTTAGTTCTGAGCTCGTTAGATGAAAGACTGTGTCAGAGGAGACTGCTTGCACTGTGATAGGTCGGGATGTTTCCTGCCTGATCGTTTCTGGGCCTGTGAGGCGGCGCCGTCCTCCAGAGCGAGAAGGCTTTGGGTCAGGATGCTGGAGCGCGGCCTGCTGGCTTGGGAAGGGCCAGGGCCGTGACTGTGGCCAGGTTTTTCCTCAGCAGAAACTGGTGTGATGCAGCTTTTGTTTAAGCTGCCGTCAGAGCGCCAGTGGAGCCCCTCCAGAACCAACAAGCCTGTTTTTCTTTTTTTCTTTTTTAACCTGACGATCCACCACAAAAGACAATAATCAATATGCAGCTCAGAGCTTGAGATGTGAGTCAAGATGTGCAAATAGAAATGTCTCTGGAGGATTTTGAGGTAACCTTCTCAACTGCTTTCAGATGAGGGAAATCTAAAAGGAAAAAAATTATATTTTCACAAAGACGTTATTATGAAATTTTGTTGATCTGAAATATTTCAAAATGATTTGAAGATTAAAGTTTCTATCCTTGGAAACATTGTAAACCAGCTGCATGTTGAGGGTGTTAAATGGCTTCAAAGCAGTTCAGTGAATGTGATCTTCATTAGTAAATGGAGTGTGCTGTTTTATTTGCATACGCTAACATAATAAACTCCACTGTTATTACCTTTTGATGAAGCTCAGGTAATTTGGCTGAAAGCTTAACTTGCATGAAATGATTACTTTCATTACCAGTTAATCTGTGAATTGTTTCAGTTTGTTAATAAAAAGGCCTCATTAACATAAAAAAGGCCCTTCAGGATTACACTATTTTAATTTTGCTATGACAAATAAAATGTTTTATTACTAGATGGAATGTTTCTGTAATTTAAAAATGGATTAAATCTATTTTTAGATTCATTCAACTTACCATACTTTTGTTTTGTTTGGTAAACCTAAGACAGCAAGCAGAGAAAAATTTAATATGTTGGTTCTGCAGTCCTGAAATAACAGGTTCTTGACCAAAATTCAGGGTTGAACCTAATTTATCAGGTAAATTTTATACAAATTTTGTCACATGTAATTGGGGAATAAACGTAGGACTCATGTTTCCTACCAGGTCTCAGGTTATGTGGTGAAGTTTCTGTCTGTGTGGAGTCGTTGTGCATCAGAAGAAATGAGTTTACTCCAAAAATGAGTCTCGTTTCTACATGAGTGCCGACTCTTGAGTGTTCAGATTTTGGTCCAAAAATAATTACTTCAGTAATGGTTTCTATTCAGCTGAAGAAAGGTGTCGCACATCAACGCATTGATTTGTTCGGTGCTTGAATGGTGAATATGCGTCGTGATGGTGACAGCTTATTCAGAGCTACATTTGCAATATAATTATAATCTTAGCTAGTGGAAGCATGTAGATGTTGAATAAGAGTAACTTTTGTCCTCTTGAGTGAATTGTAGAAAAAAAATGAACATGCATAGCTTTGTGGAACTGCCATGATAATAAGATTTATTATCAAATACTGACCTTTTCCAAAGTGTTAATTCTTTGCAGCTGCTTGCACATTTTTGTCTTGCTGTAAAACGATTGGCTACATTTTGCACAAGCTGCGGATGATGACGATGCCTTGTCCCCAAAAACAAAGAGCCGTTATTCAAGATTAAATGCAAATGTTGAATAATTTTGTTTTAAAATGAGCTCAATAGTGAAGGCAATCTGTTGGTCTTTCTTAGTCCATCAGGTGTTTCCTTCTTTAAGAGGATGTTTTAAGAGGTTATGTGCATGGATGTGTGTTTTTTTTTGCTCGTTCACATGCAAGGGCAGGTCATGCCTTGACACAATTACACACACCATCATGCTGAAGGGTCCTAACAAGGAAGGCTTTTTTATAAAATTGTCCTTGATAGTGACATGTACCCACAAGAGAAAGATGGATCAGGCATTAATCTGTTGAAGGGTCATTTTAGGTTACACAGTATTGCCCACCACAATTTGGCGTCTCCCTGCTATCCAGCCAATCAGAGACAAGGACTCGGTGATGCAGTTCACCTCTTACTGGAGGGATTCCGAGGAACTGCCGCGTGACGATGCTTGGGCTTAAACAGCTCAGCCTCTCCTGACTCTCACACCTCCTGCTCCTCCTTCCCCCCTCCTGCCTTCAGGTTTTTATTCTCCAAGCTGTGTATGAGGAGCATCAGCTGTGTGTGTGTGTGTGTGTGTGTGTGTGTGTGTGTGTGTGTGTGTGTTTGATCAGTGCCATCCACACTGCTTCCTCCAGCCTGGGTGTACAGGCAGCAGACAGAAGCCCTCCTTCTCGTGTCTGAGCTAGGCTCCACCTCTCACTTTCCCTCCCAGCTCTCTCTCCATCTTTCTCTCAGCATCACACCCACACCCACACACACACAACACATGCGTACACACACGCAGATACACACACCCTCTCTCTCAGACTCTCCACTCCATATGAGCCTTCTCGTCAGGGCTGACAGCTTTGGAGCTGAAGGTGTGCAGCTGTTGCCAGGTAGGAAAGTACATTTTATTCACAGCTCACTCACCAAGTTATTGATGACAGTGTTTGTTTTTGTTAGAAAATATGTGATGTATTTGATGACTGTCAGTCCTAATAATGTAACACTACTGTTACTCTTCACTCCCAACTCCCCACCGTTTCCCTGGACTCCATATTTGGCGCCTGTTTTTGCCGCGCCTTTGTCGTCATGTGCAGTTTGTTTTTTGTCCCCGTATGCTCAGAACCTGCTTTAGGTGCAGGGTGGAGCGCAACAGCTGATCGCAGCGCTGCTTCATGTAGGCTATGTCTCTAGTTGCGAAGGGACTCTGTGTTGAGGATGTGTGGGCAGATGGAAAGACGATAAGAAGAGGGGAGGGGAAATCAGAAGGAAGATGAGCAGCTGCTTTCATCCTATAGAAGCGTATCCCTCTGTTGTTCTCGCTCCATCAGACAAAATCTGAGTCTACATCTCTGGCATTTTTATTTTTCTCTACTTTCCTCCGTCCTGCACTTGTGATGGGTTTGTGAAGAGGCAATCTGTTGATTCTGAAATGAAAAGAATAGGGATTTTTCTCCTGCAACAATTCATGCCTAATTATATATCTCACTTTATTTTCTTCCATTTGTTCTGTGAACTGATAGGATTGAAATACCACTTTTGGTTCAGCTGGTTACCCAGGATCTCTGCTATTGTTGTGTTTGGTGGGAAGCACCCCTTGCTGTAAAGGAGGCTTATCACCTCCCACAGGTTTTACTGATGGAGCGCCGATTGGCTACTGCACAGTGCACATGGAACGAGTCTCTCCAGAGTCTGTGCAAACAACGTCAAGCAAATCCATGGTGACTGCCATGCATGTTCAACTAGGAGTCGCTAAGAGGCAGATGGCCTATCACCCTCTTCTCCCAGATTACCTAATAACTCTGAAAGCATGATCAGCCGGTGTTAGGGGAGGGTCTTGGGTTGCTGAGGGTTGCAGTGTTACCTGCTGCTTTGACTACGTTAAGGCAGGAGACTCACGTGAATCAATTTGTTACCAGGTGACGAAGACGGTGTGAGCAAGGCAGCACTTTGTGCTTCCATCAACTAAATCTAAATGTTTTCCCAGGTAGAACGAACATTCACTGGATCGTCTACAGATGCTCTATTTCATAATCCAACAGTCGGTGTTGCTGCATTACTGCTTAACACACTTTGATGTTTTTCACAATGTTCAATTATTTATGTTTAAGCTGCAATGGGTTTTTAGAGAATGTTGGGGAACAAACATCATAAAGATGAAATAATACAGTTGTGCAATAATTTTATATCAAGAAACACACCATTTATAAATGTTAACTGGAAAAACGAAACAGAAAGCTAAAATAGAAAGTGTGGAGTACCAGGAGAAAAGATGCTGGAGTTGTTCTAATAAAATAAAACAATGGTATTATAAAATTAAAAGAATAAAGTCACATTACAAGATTAACTTGTCATAATATTACAACTTTATTCTCATAATGTTATGTCTTAATTCTCAGCTTTTGTTCTTTTAGTACTATAACTTTATTCAAGTAATTTTATGACTTTATTCTCATATATTTCTCATACTGTGATTATGTTACTTTGTTGTATTTAAACAGGAAAACAATTTGCCATGCAGTCCACAAATCTGGCTTTCACAACAGGAATGCTGCAGTTGAAAGTTATTTACTCACAGTTTTTAAACCATGGGTAAATAATTTGTTCTCAATTTAAAAACAATTTGAAAACTGATCTGGTGGTTGTGGACCAGATTAACTGAATTAAGGGATGGTTCCTAGGATTAGGTTGCAATCTAAATGGCTTATTTTCCTGTGCCAAGCATGTCTTTCCATAATACAAAATAAAGCAAAACATTTTCCAATAGTCAGAAAATGTGGCAAATGAATAATAAAATTATTCACTGGCCCTCCTTATCCAGTCTCTGAGCTTGAACTATTTTGCAAAAGAGAAGGGGCTTTAATTTAATATTTTTGATGGACATCCTGGTGGAAATGGAGCCTAATAAAGTTTTTATGTAGTAAGGAAGTGTCAACTCAGGAGGTTTCTAGTTGTAAAAAAATGGTAAAAACCTGGCATCCTTTTCTTAATTTATTACTGCTTTGTGTTGTTTTGAAACATAGCAACTGAATAGAAATGTGTAGATCCAGTGGGACGAAACATTAAAAAAAATCAGGAGAGCTTCTAATTCCTGAGCAAGGTGATGCGCATCATTCATAGAAGCAGATGTTGACTTCCAGTCAAGTAGCCACTGGGCTGCTGCCCGGGGAGCTGTGAGGTTGTTAGCGAGCGATTAATGAGGATTTCGGAACCCAAAGTCTCAAGCCTGATGTTTAAACAGCGCTAACCTTTTGTATCGGACAAGCTATCGAGGGTGAACTTTTCACCAGAAGCCAAAGGCCGTCCGGATGAAAGGGCATCTATCCGCCAGATTTACTTTGCATTTATCTGGAGACCCTCAATTATGATGACTCTATCAGATGATAGAAGAGTAAAGAAGCATCGGTATTGTAAGGCAGAGTGGTGTGTTTCTCTCTACTGGAGAGCAATGTAAAATGGAGGATATAAATAGAATGTGTGACCTTGTGTGGCCGTTTGGTAGTGGGTGTCTGTGAGCTCGGACAGTAACACCGTCTCACTGAGAGCGAGTGGCGCTGGTTCATGAATCATGATTTGCCCTGCATCTCTAGGATTGTCCTCCGTATGGACGTACATTCACGTAACATCAGATTGATTTTACTTAGATCAGCATCATCATTAACACAGAAGGAGAAAATCAATGAATGATACAGCATCAAAGGGTTATGCAGGTGTCCTTTTGTCACTGTGTTGTGATCAATATATTAATAATTACAATGTGATTTTTTATTTTCCCCAACTCTTGAACTGGTTCAATGAGTCTTAATTTTCCTTGCAAAATAGAAATAAGACTTCCAGGTTCATTTAAAGTATTTTCATCTCCCCCACATTCTTAAACAAGATGAAGAAAATCCCAACATTAATTGATAATCTTAGTTTGACTTTATCATCCCTGCAGAGTCTCTATTATAGTAATATTTTCTTATTTGACATTAAGCTAAGCAAGTTTTTATGCAGCTTTTAACAAGTTCTGCTGCTGTTATTGTGAGATATTTTACTACTCTGATGTAAAGGCTGACTTTCTAAAGTAGTATCTCATTTTCAGTGGTGTTTAAACTGGATTAGCTTTTTTAAATCCCAAAACTAAGTTTGATGTTTGTTTGGATAATTGTTTTAATAAATCAAAATCAAATCAAATTTTATTTGTATAGCACATTTCAGCAGCAAGGCATTTCAAAGTGCTTTACATCATAAACACAATAACACAAAGTCATGCAACATATAATAGACAATACATTGTTACATGTTACATTTCAAATACGATTCTAAACAGGTGTGTTTTTAGTTGCGATTTAAAGGAAGTCGGGGTTTCCGCTGTTTTACAGTTTTCTGGAAGTTTGTTCCAAATTTTTGGTGCATAGATGCTGAAAGCTGCAAAACCTGTTTCAATTGGACAGAAAACGCATTTGACCCAAAATCGGTTCATGTCAGACTCCCATCTCAGTTTGGTGTCTGTGTGTCGAATGGAAAACTCAAGCACCTGCAATCAGACTGAAGCAGACAGAGCAGAAACGACTCTTTATGAGAAGAGAAAGTCTAACTTGGAAACAGGATGCAGAATCACCAAGCGTCGTTTATTACTTTTAGGTTCATGTTACTTGCCTAACTGATGTCTTGGTCATTTCAAAATGTCTGACAATTAAAAGCTGACACACTGGTTACAGTGCGTATTGAAAAACCTTTGTTCTTGCTAAAAACAACCAAAAGAAATACTCGAAAATGCTCAGTGAAGAGGGATGTCCTACAAATGGGATTAGTAGTATCACTGCTTACAGCAACAATTGCTGAAGAACCAAAAGAACCAAATTTTTGCATTGTTTTTTTTCATTAGCAATGAGGACGGCTCTGGTTCTAAGCTAACTTCATCATACTGCTTATGTAACTGTGTGCAGTCTGATGGTGTAAAGCTTTTCCATGTAGTCCTCTGTGAATGGGCCTCTCCTCACAAAAGAACAAAGGTTGTGGTTTTCTCATTTGCACAGAACCCACGAACCCATTGTTTTATCAGCAACAAAAGCTGAGTCTTCCAGTTGGATGTGATTGCAATTTAATTTATGCATCATCTGGAGGAAAACAGTCAGGAAAACACAACCTAGACTTTCTGAAAGGCCTCTTAAAAACTGGTTTAAATCTTAATTGGAGATTCAGAAATAGTTTACAAAATTACTGACTAATTAATACTTAATTAGTTTCTCTCAGTAAGTGGGCCTGAGTTTAGCCAGATTAATTTCACAATGATATGACTCAGATCTGTCATGCAAAGAGAAATCTTTATTAAATAGACTTCTGTTAAGGTAGTCCATGTTTCCTTGTGACTGTCTGTCACAGACTTTGCTTGACAGACGTTATCTTGGGTTTATATGTACGGTAATGGTGGTGGCAGGGAGGTAGGTGTTTTGTGATAGGTACGAATGAGAAAATAATTTTAATGGTAAGACTGCCAATGTGAGAGCTGTAATTTCAAAATCCCCTTTAGCAGGAAATTGCTTTTGCCCTCCTACAACTCTTTAATATCCTGATTCATACTCAGTCCCGGTAAAATGCATCTTCCAGCCATAGCATTTCTCCCTCTGCTGCCCGACGGTGCTCCCCGAGGAAGTTATTGGAGATAAATACCATCTGGGGGTATGGAGGCTGCTAAGGGACAATAACTTGGCCTCTTTTCTCCATGTTGGTCCCATAGAGCCTCCAGTCTTGCCTGTATGTAGTGGGTGAACTGTCCCCTTTGCCCGTGAAAGAGTGGATTAATTATTGCTGAAGGGCATGCAGTATAAAACAAATCAGCCCTGGAGCACGTTTGAGTGTCTCATGAATGTAATAAGGCTCCTTAAAAATGCTCTCCGTCTCCACACTC